CTCTCTCTCTCTCTCTCTCTCTCTCTCTCTCTCTCTCTCTCTCTCGGGGTTGATGATAAGTGTATGGCTGGCAGTGGGTGGCTGGGTGGTGGGGGCTGCTTTCAGTCTGGAGGACCAGGGTCTAGCCAGGCTCAGGGCTGACCAGGGCTGTAAGCACAGTGCCGTGATGGAGGCCCAAGGTGTTCGGCCTCTGACGTTTGTCTTAGACTTGGAAACACTGAAAACGATGGTGACGCTGATGACACTAGTCATCCCCTAATTCTGAAAGTGGAGAACTTTCGCATTTTTCACTGTCGCGTGCACGGTAGGTATGTGGGTCACGACAAGCTGGGGTCTGCGGCACCTGCTCACTGTCCTGTGAGAGGCCAGCCCCGTCCAGCCATGCTCTGCCTTGTGTCTGGGGTGTCTCTGTGCTCAGGCGAGTGCTCCTCATTAGGGAGGAAGGTCTGATGAAGACACGTGTGCTTTAGGGTTACCTCTGTCCTGCGTGAGCCACTGTCACGGAGGAAAGCCTGCACCCAGCTGCTCTGCCCTGCAGTGAGCTCCCCAAGGTCGGGTGTGTGCGGAGAGCTCCCAGGTCAGGCCCTTCCAGAGGACAGTGCTATCTTTGAAGGTCATGGATCAGACAGCTGAGGAACTCCTTGCTGGCTTCCCAGTGGCTTCAGAGTGGGGACTTCTTTTCACAGAGCCTCCCAGTGAGACTGTGAGGTTGTTGTTGGCTGCATTTTTAGTGTTGAGTTCCCCCTTGGTGTGGCATTCATTGTCGTCCTCGCTAAGAAGACGATTCTTGGGTATCTGTCTCCTTGGAAAGATTTCTGACCCTGTCAGCCTCAGGTTCTCTGTGGCCTGGGGCCATCGTGCCCATCAAGGCCCGTGAAGATGGCACCGGGCCTGCTGCTTCCTCCTCCAGACGTCCCACATTCTTCAAGTAGAGGGCTCACCTTCCCTATAGTCTGCAGTAGTCTATTCTAGAATGTTCTTACTCCATACTGTCTTCGCTGTTCGGTGCAAGTATGTGCAGTCTTTACTGTTGCTTATTTCTAAGTGTTCTGCCTGCTCACATACAATTCTCCTCTGGTGTCTGAACTATATTGTATTTCCTTAAATATCCAAATTCTAAGGCTGTTACTTTCTCAGACTTGATGCTCATGCAAAACAAGCTAGTATTCTTGAAAGATTATTGGCCAGGCTGTCAGTGGACTTCTAGAGCTTCTGCCATGACATGCTGTGCGCATTCGTCCATGAAATGAAGTGAGTTGCACAGGTGTTCTCTGTGGTCCCTCCAGCCCTAACATCTTCATATTTATTACTTCTGAGTCCCATCCCTTATTTTGCAATGGTGACAGAATTCTCACACTTGACACGGCAGATCTCTTTTTGGCTTGTCCTAACTTCAGGCATTAGTAATCAGCCCAGCTGGTCGGCATGCATGCATATCTGGGAGCTGCAGGCCTGCCCTTGCTGTTGTGATGAAGGAAGGTTCCAGAATGCATCCAAATATGTTAAATGTATTTGTCCTGGGGTGGAATAGAGTTGTTTTACTTTAACCTGGCACCTTAATTTTGTGTTCAGTGGGCACATTCTTCTGTCTTCATCGTCATATTTGTGTGTCTGTTTTTGGCCAGGTGCTGTCTGTAGCTGACTCTGATCAGATGGTGAAAACTGATGAGGCCAGATGACAGATTATGGATGGGTGATGTTCCAGCAATCATATAGGAAATAAAGAAAAGAGCTGGGGAAGCCGTAGATTGTTCGCACTCCTAAGGGATGAGCTGAGTCAGTTCTCCCAGATACTTTGTAGGATTCAGTATGATCGTAATGCTGCATGTAGCATGTAGTAGGAGCCAGGTCTGTTTCTAAGTGCCTTTGGTATGTCAATTAGTTAAACCTTAGCACTGCAGTATGAAAAAGGGCAGTTCTGGCCCCACTGACAGAGCAGGCAGTGGAGGCAGAGAGGTGAAGTAACTGGCCAGGAGTCACATACAAATGAGTGGCACCTCTACTGTTGTCAGTGTGACAGCCTTGTGGTGGCTTGTCTTCTGGCTGTGCTCCTGCCTAAGGTAGTAACTTCAGGTGTTGGTGAAATTGTAGCGCTCAGCTGGAATTCAGTTCTGGTATGCCTTTCATATGTACATTTATTATTAATTTTTAATACAGTTTATATTGTTAAACATTCAATGAACCTTTCATTGAAGTATTGATACAGAAAAATGAACAAATCATAAGAACAGAAAATGCACACATCTTGAATTATCACCAAATAAGTGCACCCAGGACTAGAAATGGAACATCATGAGCCACAGAGGCCCCCACAGGCCCCCTCCCTCCCCAGTTGTAACCAGCATTCTGACTTCCTATTTCTGAACTTCTTATATGTGTATTTTTAAAGTGAATTAAAATTTGGGGGAAATTTTGATATTCCCTTAAGTGAAATAGAAACATCCTAGAGTGTTACAAATTGACAGAGTGGGTTTCTGGAGTTTGCTTCTGAAATATTTAGTTTTATTAGTGAGAGATTCTGGTGTGAAGAACCCATATCCTGAGCAGAACGATCTTCCTGGTGCATGTCACTCAGGAACCGTGACGGCTCCGAGACTGGCAGTCTAGCAGTGAGCCCGCCGCAGCTTTTAGATATGGCGGCAGACAGGAGACCCTGGGTCAGAAAGAAAGGGTGTTATGCATGGCACAGCAGGCTGCATGTGTGTATCTGTTCCCCTGTCCCCCAGGTTCTGAGGGCCCAGGCACATGCTGCACGCAGCGTGGGTTTGTGTCATAGCTTAGGAACCCTCCAGTTTTATAAGGAGGCTGCTCACAAACCTGCCTAACCCTTGCTTCCAAGCAGACAGTACCATGTCCAGAAAGGAGACACCATCTACAGCTACGAGAAAGGTAGTCTGCGACAGACGCTGACACTAGACGTGGAGAATTGCCTCCCAATAATGGCCACCCCTTGTTTCTATACCATCTTGCCTCAGTGAACTTTCCCACATCACTCCATGTGGCTGGGACCATGTCTGTGCAGCGTGTGATAGTGTGTGTCCAGGCTGCCATCGGTGGGACTCCAAAACAGCAGGATGAGGCCAGCCTGCAGCATCGACCTCAGCTGGGCCGAGGGACCCTGCTGGACAAAACCCATAGACCAGGAGTGTGTATTCCGTTCATTCAGTCACAAAGTATTCCCTGAGTTAGGATTATAAGTAAAATACTTGCCCTCTGAGAGCTTACAGTCAAACAAGCGGTCATCCTGCTATGTAGTGAGTGTAATGAGTGTGCAAGCCCGCACTGCCCCACGAGGGGGGAGAGGTAAGGACTGGGTTGGCCTTCCCACTCTGGAGAGAGGGTTGCCATGGCAATGTGGGGTGCTTTGGGGTGCCAGGTGCTAAAGGCAGGAGACCCATTAGGTTGCTGCCACTCAGCCTGCAGCCCTACGAGCTTTGGGGTTCCGTTTGTGTCAGCTCCCTGTGTGCTTGATGACACGTTGCCTTTTCTCATTTATTTATTTATTTATTTATTTAAAAGATTTTTATTGGGGAATTGGGAGGATGGGAACAGACAAGTTGCTGTCGTTTTGTT